CATATTGTTAGTAAACTAATCAATTTTACTGTTGATATTTCAGTAAATGAATCTATAAATGTGGCATGCATTAATATACTATTAAAAGAAATGTTAAGCTAATTCACAAACAGTACATAGAATACTTTTAGAATTTCTTTTGTTATTTAATTTTGTAACTTTGTGACCACAGGAAAATTTTCCCGTGAAGTGCCAATGTTTGTCAAAGTAATAACTCAGAATTGATATCCAGATTTATTTATACTACTCTTGTTTTTATTTGGTAACACGTGTTGTTAAATCTTATCAGCAAGTTCATTGACTCGTTCTTGAGAAGTTATAGGATAATAAAACATATGACTTGATGTGGAACTTTTTATTCAACAAAGGATTCTTACACCCTTTCCAATTCACACATTTCTCAATGCGAAGCCTACGGCAGACATAATTCATTTTTAGCTAAAAGTAAAAATGGCCTCTATGGCCTCCATGTGGTGCACCTCTCGTCCAACTTGCAGGGATCCTTCCATTTCTCTCAGGATGCTGTGTGGAGTTGTTGTCTCGACGCATGTTGAACAGCATCACTGAAATTGAAAAAAAATAAAATAATGAAGGTGACTGTACATTGTACAAGGTAGTCCACAGACCCCTTTCTGTTTTGCTTAAACTGGACCGCATGCATGCGTGTGGACGGGCTTGCCTACTGTCGCTCCACATGCAACCCGTCCACAGGCCTGCATGCGGTACAGTATAAGCAAAATAGAGGAAGGGGTCTGTGGACCAACCTGTATGGTGTTGTGAGGGCTGACATGAAGTGGAAATATGGGAAAATGGGGGGGGGGGGGGCACTTACTTTGCGGGTGCCGAAATCGCTGGGGTGGAGCTTCTATCGCCAACTCGTCATCCAGCACATCGAGTATCTGACGTAGAACCCTGATTCCTTCGTTGATTTCGGCCATTTCAAGGGGAAGCCTCTGCAGCTTCATCTGCAAACGACTGATTTCAGTCTAAAAGCAATAACGTATTAAAAACCCGGCCGCGAATTAACTACGCTAAGCTGGCCACAGCTCACCGCAGCTACTCACCGTGACGTACCCCTTGCAGTCGCGCAGCATGACCCTCCTCTCCCTGCTTATGTCCTGAAACCGTCGATCGTGGGACGCCATTTCTACATATGTTTGCCAATAAGACCGAGGCCCAGGACCCAGACCGCCCTCTAGAAAGACGGTCCGCAACAATGATAGTCGCGGCCGCTCGAGGGAAGGCCGGGAAGGCCGAGCCTGGCCGGCCTGGCCCGCCTGGCCGCGGCCGCCCTTCCCGCTTGCCGCGCCTGCCGCCAGGGGTAGCGCGCCTGTCGGGTAGGCAGCCGGGTCGGCGGGCCAGTACTGCTGGCCGTCGGTGGCCTACCTCACAGGCGCTTCCAGGCGCCTTTGGGAAAAAACACTCCGCTTCTCTCTCAGAATGTAGGAGACAATCATTCTTGTCATTTACATTTATGATCGAGTTCAGGTGTACTGTCATACTCATTGTCGTAATTCACATGAACTGTAATTACTGATGTAGCTGTAGTATGCCTTCTGACTGCATGTCAACGTACATGATCGTATGCACTTCCCAGTGTATTTTGAGTCGCGATCGAAGTGTAAAAATTAATGTGTTAGGAAGTGAACTTGAGATGCATGCACACATTTACATCATATGTGTATACATAACTGCGTTTGAAACTGTACTTCAATGTGCCCAAGACAAGTACAGACAAAACTGTAGTGAAAATACAGTTTGAATACAGTGTGTGCGCACTCCAATGTGGATATTGGATTGCAGCGGCCCTATAGTTGTAGCTCCATATGTCCTACATTAAAAGAACACTTACATTCCAGGGCCAACTAGAGTCACCGACTGCACATTTGCTACTACAGTTTCAACCACACTTTGACTGCTGATCCTTTCGCGCGGGTTAGAAATCTCACCCACTCAGTTTTTTGCACTGAGTCTGGTTATGCGATACTTTTAACACAAAACCATGCGATAACTGGTGTTTTGCGATTCACGCTAAAGGGCATGATAACTCCAAAAAATGTGATAAAAGTATCACATTATTGTGATAAAATCATCACAAATATTATTTTATTACATTTTTTGTGATGATTTTAACACAAAAATGTGATACTCTTTTTGGAGTTATCATGCCCATTAGCGTGGGAATCGCAAAACACCAGGTATCGCGAAAATTCAGTAAAATTATCACGAAACGGATTTCAGTGTGGAAGCCTATGACCTACTGCAGCTAATGATGCCCTTGTTTTTTCTTCAAATTCTTCCTTTTGTACACAACCGTGAAGACCCTGAATGCAGCAGTGTCAAACGGCTATTATTTCATGGACATTTATGACCCTGGCTCTCTCTGTCTCTCACTACATACACGGGTGGCACATGGCCGAAAACGGATATGTGGCGTTCCAGGCGTCGTAGCTCCAGTTTGAATGATGCTACACTCAAAACAAGGTCATCATTAGCTGCAGTAGATCATAGGCTTCCAAAAACTAAGTGGGTGCGATTGCTAAGCACATTGGCTTCAGAGGAGATAGTTTCGCCAGCCAGCGCGGCACACATTTTAACGTACTAAGTTGATACTCCATTATAGTTCTACTTCATGCACTGGCAGAGGGCGCACCGGCCCCCCGGCTCCCGGAGCGTCCCGACCCGGCCTTCGCGCCACCCACAGCCCTACAACTCCAACGCTGCGCCAAGGAGCTCAGCTCACACTCTGCGGCCAGACCCGGTGGGCTGAATGCGGAGCATCTCTCCAACTTGGTGGATGCCTAATCTAATCCTCGTGGGTAGGAGGTAAGAGTTATATCCATACCCACGAGAACAAAATAGCACCCTCATGGGTAGAAAATTTCACCCACCTATTGGTGGCTGAAATGTACCCCACCATGGGTATGTAAATTTATTTACCCTGGTGAGGGAAAGGAGCGTTGTGTCCCTTTCGCGGGTAAAATTACCGCCGAATTTTTTTACAGTGGCTGCTTGGACCACCGGCCAGGGGTCCTGAGCATTGCCACGTGGAACGTCCAGGGCTGCTCCCCGCGGGAGAAGTAGCTCGCCCTGTACACCATGCTTGCTGAGGAGGGTGTCTCTTTGGCGGTCATCCAGGAGACCCGGATGGCTAAACAGGTGACGCATACCCCTAACTACCGATGGGTCGGGTGGGCACCGAACCTCACCGAGACGTCGAGACGTGGTGTCCGTCCGAGCCATGGTGCTGGGGGTGCCTTTTTCGGTGGAAGGCGCCCGGGCGCCCATGTGCCATGCGGCACCGGACGACATCCTGGACCTGCTCGCAAGCGCACGGTGCTCGCCGCACTGGCGGCAGTCGTGGCTGCCCTTCCTCGCGACCACTGGAGGTTTGTGGCTGGTGACTTTAACGCCAAGCTGGGCAAGCTGGACTCCACCTCGCCGCCAGTTGGGGAGGCGGCTGCACCATCCCCACTCTGACGACGCCGGGGTGGCGCTCCTCCAGCTCGCCCATCAGGTCAATCTGCCCATCGTGACCACCGGGAAGAGGGCCGGACTAGCCGAGCACTCATCACAAGGGTGAGTGGAGACACTCTGGCACAGTTGGACCTTGTGCTCACAGACTTCCCGAGGGAGCGTCAGGTGGCTGGACTGGCGCCTATAGGCATCTGCATTCTGATTATCGCCTGATCGTCGCGGCGCTGGACGCTCCATTTGTCCGAACTTACCTACCAGCCGGGGCGCAGTGGGCGGCAGGCGGGCCACTCCTGCACACACCCCCCCCCCCTACCCCCCACTGGAAGGACTGGGACGTCCGCCGACGCAACACTGACGCGGAGCTCCAGGCAGAGTACTCTGCCACCCGCAATGCCCTGCTCGGTGAGCAGGTCTCAGGTCTCCCACGCCCGTCGACCCTTCACCTGGAATCAGCTGGTGAATGCGCTGCGGTCAGCGGCGTACGATGTTCTCACCCCCTCCCCCGACCCACCCACGCCTCGGCGGCGCGCTGCGCTGCAGCCAACGCCACTGCGGCCGCCCTCACGACCTTCCACAGGCCGGGCCGGGTGCCGTACGCAGCCGACCACCCGCGACCACCTGCGCGCGGCCAGGACCGCGCAGCGCGCGGCTCGACTCCATCACGAGGAAGAGGCCACCCGTGTAGAAACGTATGGTTGCTGCATAGCTGCTGGATATTTTGGAAGCAAAGCGCCGCGCAAATGATCACGCAGAGTTCAAAAGACGATCAGATAATTTTGGGTGGGGGCTGGAAAGATACCGAGCAAATATCCGTTTATTTTGTGGCTATTTTATCAATCTCCAGTAGGCGTCTTCTCGACACCATTTTTAATGACCATAAAAAGGGATCGAGAAACCGCTGGGGCGATGACGGCCAAGTGCTACCGCGGCCATCAGGACGCTGACAGGGAGGCGCCCCACCGCTGTGCGACCTGCGGGACGGCCTTCAGGAGGGTGGCCCGTCTCAGCGCCCACATGCGGACACATGCCGACATCAAACTGGACAGCGGTGAACCCTGCGGCGACAGTTACCGATCACCCTCCACAGCCGCCGCCGTGCCGCCGCCTACTAGTGATACACCCTACAACTGCCAGACCTGTGGGAAAAGCTTTGCAAAAAAGTATAATCTTACGGATCATGTGAGGACTCACACTGGAGAGAAGCCTTTTCCATGTGACATGTGTGAAATGGGGTTCGCCCAGAGCTCGAACCTCATTTCACACATGAAAACCCACACTGGTGAGAAAAGTTTTAAATGTGGCCACTGCAAGAAAAGTTTTGCACACAAGCCAAATCTTCGCGAGCACATTAGGACTCACACCGGTGAGAAACCATTCGAATGCAAGTTGTGTGAGAAAAAGTTCAGACAGAAACCACATCTTGTGCACCACAGAAGCACACACAAGTTAACTGAATGATTGCCTCTAGTTCAAATTTTTGTAATTTACAATGGTACACTTTTAAGGCCTCAAATTTAATTAAAAAATATTAACAGGTGAATACAGTAGTTTGCCAGTTACAACTGTCGAACAAAAAGTTTGCCAGTTTGAACTGCAGAACTCTTTAGTTCACCAGTTCTAACTGAAGAACTTTTCAGTGTTCGCCAGTTGTAACTGTAGAACAGACTATCAGTTGTCGGTCCAGAACTGAAGAGTTCTACAGTTACAAATACAAACTAAAGAGTTTTACAGTTAGCATTGGCGAACTTTTGGTTCTGCATCTTAATTTGGCAAACTTTTTGTTCGCCGGTTGTAATGCTGGCAAACTACTACACACTAAATTAGCACAGAAGATTTCAATCAATCTGTTTTATTCTCCTTAAAGTTTTGTAGCACTATACAGAATATATTCAAGTGCTGATTAGAACTGTTGTCAATTATGTTCTGAGCTGCACTGATTCTGTGCTTTTATCTTTGACTTTCATCTTCTACACTTCTTCTCACAAACTTATTGTTATCTGTAAGTGCCATTGTATTATTTTGTTAGTCTATAACAATAAACCGAGCAGTGAACAATGACAAATTTCAGTATTGTATGATAATGAATCGTCCCCTTACTTCCTTAAAACCCGAGGTTTTGTCAATTATAATTGGTCTCACACTCTCGCATAGGCACAGAAAAAAGTTCATGTTTTGGCACTTCAATCACTTTCCTCTTTTAGGCAATTGCAGTCCATAAATAAAAGAAATTTCTAGATTAAAAATTGCATTTAAAAGGACGCAATTAACAAGGCATTCACAAATTTCATGTTTACATGTATGGTCAGATGAAATCATTGCCCGTGTGGAACAAAAGTTAGTAAAAATATGGTCTTCTTGTCGTTGTTTGCGAAACGAATCACGACTTCAAAACGGTAAATTAACAACCAATTTAGGGAGCGATAACGACAAGCAGGCGAACTTCTTGCGTTTCGTTGCAAATGCATTTAAAGTTGTCGTTCTTTCACGCCTAAAAGTGGTCCGTTTTACGGCTAAAAAACGGCAAATTTTCCTTAAGCTTTTGTGTGTCAAAAGGCAAAAGAGGTGGCTAGCGGGGATCGAACCGCTGCACTTTGTCGACTTGGGTTTCCACAAACAGGCACTGTATTCAATCGGCCACAGTGACTACAGTGTGCTGAGACGTTTGCGCTCGCTCTCATTGCAGCGCGCGCACTCTGCAGAATATTTCTCGTGGAGTTGGTGGGAAAATGAGAGCTTGGCGCCGTTTGCGTATGCCTACCAACTCCTTTGAGTGCACATATATCTTCACATTGAAATCAAATCGTAGCCTTGTCCACTACTTACATTTAAATATTCTGCCTTGGGCGTGCGCTGCAAGGAGAGCGAGCGCAAACGTCTCAGCACACTGTAGTCACTGTGGCCGAGTGGATACAGTGCCTGTCTGTGGAAACCCAAGTCGACAAAGTGCAGCGGTTCGATCCCCGCTAGCCCTCTTTTGCCTTTTGACACACACAAGCTTAAGGTAAGTTTGTCGTTTTTTAGCCGTCGAACGGACCACTTTTAGGCGTGAAAAAACGACAACTTTAAATGCATTGCAACGATACGCAAGAAGTTCGCCTGCTTGTCGTTATCGCGCCCTAAATTGGTTGTTAATTTACCGTTTTGTAGTCGTGATTCGTTTCGCAAACAACGACAAGAAGACGATCTTTTTACCAACTTTTGTTCCACACGGGTCTGCACTCCAGGACTTTGTACAAGCGAGGTTGTAACAACCAGCGGCACAAGAGTCAGAGATAGCAGCTCATCTTCATCCAGCTCATCTTCATCTAGTTCATCCTCATCCAGCTCGTCGTCTAGTTCAAGTGAGACCAGTGATTCTGAAGATGAGAGTGCTACAAAAGAAATAAAGTGCAGTGTCAGTACAGAAAGCTTACCGGGTTTTGAGAAAGAGCTAAAGGAACTAGAGGAGGCAATAG